TGTGCCCCGGAGCCCGCCGTCCTGCCAACTGACCCTCAAGTTCGGGGCCGGGCACGAGCCATCCGTTTCCAGCCTTCCTTCATTTTCTCTGGTCCTTAGGGTCCCTGGTCTTGTGTGTGATCCAGTGAGTGACAAGCTCGTGAAATGGCCTTTGGCTTTGAAGATAAAAGCAGCATCTGCCTGCTTCCTTCGCGGCGTCCTGCCTGCGGGGGCCTTTCCGGTTGTGACGGCCTCCCGGGAGGCTCTTGCTGGCATATCACCTGGTGTTCCGGGTGGAACGCAATGCGAGACCCTTTTCCTCCGGTTTCAGAGGCTTTGGTGACGCTGGGGCTGAGGTCAGAAACAATCTCATCGGCGATTTTTCTTCCTCGTGCACAAGACCTTGGTCACCCTCAGGGGGCTTCTGATAGAGGGTGGGTCTCGCCTGTGCCCAGCAGGTGGAGGGGGCCGAGGAGGTCCCTCGCTCAGGGAAGACGGGCCCTGCACGGGAGCAGCTCAGGGCTTGGCTGGCCAAGAAGCCGCCACGGGGGCCTTGGCTGAACGAATGGCTGGCCAGTCAGATCTCAAGAAACGGAGCCCTCGGGAGGGTGGGTGCTGGGGTCCAAGGAAAAGAGTGCTGGAGGACGGGGAGCAGTTTGGGGACCAGACCACCGTCTCCCAAGCACTGCAGTGACCAGCCTCCATTTGCAGCTGGTTCCTGCAAAACACTCGGGGGTTTTCCCAGCGAGGTTGTCTTCGTGGGGAGCACGCTGACAGCGGCTGGAAGAGGGCCCGGCTCCTGCGGCCATGGTGCCAGCATCTCCCCTGCCTCTCATCGTCCTCCCCCTGCCGCTCCCAGCAGCGACGTCTGTGGGTGCAGACGTGCCACACAGGAACAGCCTCCCCAGCCAGCCATCTGGCACCTCTGGTCCCCGCCCGGAGGTCAAGGCCTGTCCACAGGCCATCTTACAGCTGCGTCTGCCAGGAGTGTCCTTTGCAGCGTAGACGCCAGGGAACCAACAGCAAGTCAGGACCTAGAGACGACGGGGAGGGCATGTGCCCGAGGAACGCCAGGAGCAGGAGGCTGTGCGGGAAGAAGGCAGGGCCGTGGCCCAGCAGTCAGTGACCCGTCCAGCACGTGCCCACGACTCTGGCCGGCGATGACACCCCAGCGTGGATGAAATAGAGAACGTGCGCGGGGCTCAGGAGAGGCTGGCGGCAGAGTCTCCCGGTGGCCGGCACACCCAGGTGCTCAGACGTGCCTGGATCACAGTTGCTGATGGTCGGGAGCTGATCGCGGATCACGGAACACGGCCCCGCGGGGGAGACTGAATCGGCACAGAACACCGCCCGGCTGCAGAGGGACGGCAGGACTCTGCACGCGAGGGTTTAAAACTGCTGAAAAATTCCACCGTTCAAAGACGAAATCTCGGGGAAGTGCCAAAGTGTCGGGAAGTGTGGGCTGGACATAAGAGAGAAACAGTCGTGTGCTGGAGTCAGTCCTGGGCCCACTGGGTGGGCAGGATCCTGAGGCAGCCCCAAGGTCCCCACCCCTGGGTGCACCGCCGGAGTAACCCCCTCGTTTGAGACTGGGCAGGCCCGTGAATAGGGTGGTGGGCCAACCCGGAAGGACATTACGTGACGTAACGTAAGCCTGGGGCTCGTACAGACTCTCCTGTGGGTGTTGGAGAAGCCAGCCACTTGGCATGGGGTGGGGGGCCACGGCAGGGAACACGGTGACCTTGGGGCTGAGAATGGCTCCTGCTGGCACCCAGCAAGAGTGGGGAGACCTCCTTCCCGGCCCCGGCCCCGGCCCCGTAGAATGAACTTACCTAGACGTGACCTTGGGGACATGGGAGGCGCAGGCCTAGTGAGATCAGGCTGTGTCTGCAGCGATGCTTGTAATCGATCCTAACGGCAATGATCCGGGGTCCTCTGGGAACAGCTGGGTCTCACAGACAAGGCTGTGCCCCCACAGGTGGCGAATGTTCCAACATGGCCATCCATCCGTCCCATCTGCTCTGATCCCCAGCCCTGGGTCCCACACTTGGTTGTCCCTCTCGAAACCACGGCTGCCATTCTCTGAACTTGGGCAGCACCTGTTAGCATGGCTCTCAGGTAATGTGACAACACCTGTTCTGTCACTGTGAATTACAGTCATTGAAGACGCGGCTTATCTCCTCTTACAGATTGCAAATTCCTTTGGAGGCAACCATATACCATTAATTTTTTTTAATGATTTTATTATACATCTAGAATCTCCCAAATTCTCATAATCCTGGTAGAGTTAGTTATGTGACACCGATTCTGTGACATCCTCTGCCCTCCCTAGCGAGCTGAGAGACTGGTCCCTAGCAGGTGGACAGGAGCCTGTGTGCCTGGGCTGAGCCGAGGCAGCCCACAGTTTCTCTCCACAGCTGCCCTAACGGTGCTGTGGTCGGGAGCCAAAGAATGATGGGATCGCTCTGCCTGGATGCTTCCCTGGGAACCCTGCCCCCAATCCCTGGGGCGTGTCCACACTTTACCATGTTCTCCTTGGAAGAAGTCCCCGGGTGGAGCCTGGGTCATCCCGCCCAGTAACGGAGCTCATGAATATTAACAAGGGGTTTTGACTTTTGTTAGTAAAGGTAGAAAGCGTCGATTAAAAAAAAACCCACACGTTGTGGTGTACCAAGTAAAGCACCTGTTTATTAAAATAGTGTCTCTACCAGCAACACGTCAATGTGCTCAGAGGTGAGAGGGTGAATGGGTTTTGTTTTTGTAAAGCCACCGTTAGCTTGCTGTCTCCTCTGGGCCCAGGGTTCATTCCCCGCCCGTTGGGCCGGAGTAGCCTCCCTCAAATGCGCATCACGTGTGACTGCCCGCCGTGGCTCCCCAGGTCAAGTGCAGGTCCTCCGTCAGCCTGGGACTATCCCGCCTCTCCCCGACCCCTCCCTGCCCCCCAACGTGCTCTGCCGTTGTCACATACCCCCAGCTCACGAACACGCCTTTGCACCCCAGACAGCCCCTCCTGGACCCCCCGGCCCTTCGGGAGCCTGAGGAGTGTCCATGTTCCAGAATAGTCAGTGTTCTGGAGACCGATCCCTGGGGATGGGAATGTCCCTTCGCCGTGGCCTCTCCGTGTCCGGGAGTGTCCCTCATATGGCACAGATGCCTCGCAAGGGATCATTAGCTCGCTTGTCTGCCTTGCCCCAGGCCACGGGCTCTCTGATGTCAGGACCTTGACTTTCTCTGAGTCCTCAGCACACAGCGTGGGGCCAAGGGCATAGTCAATCCCTAGTCCATGCTTTTAAGTGGATAAATTATTGTGTAAATGACTTAAACGTTTCCTTGCTCTGTCAGCGGGGAGAAGCTAGAAGCTCCGTGTCCCACGGCGGAGAACCAGGTCACGGTTTCTGATTTGTTCTCCAGCAAAAGGAACCGCGATTCTTGGAGAATTGTCTGACTCTAGGGCTGGGGCAGGAGAGACACAAGATGAGGCCGGGGCACCTTGAAGCTCCAGAAAATAAGGAAGGGCCCCCCCAAAACGATGATGGGGTACGCCAAAGGCACGCTGGAGCCAGTCAGAAAACCTCTCAATGGCCAAAGCTGGAAGAATGTGGGCAAAAACAAAGCGTCTGGATGATATTGGGTTATAACCCAGGTTAGAAATACCCATGAGCCTGTAATGATACAAATAAATGATGCGATAAATAAGTAAATGTGGGGGAATCGGTAAATATCCCCTTGAGAGTTCCAAATAGCTCGTATTGGGATACCCCCCTCAAGAGGTGGAACATAACCTGAGGAGGGGCTGCACACAGTGACTTCCCCCCGAGAAAGCACAGCGGGAAGGGGACAGAGAGTGAGTGTGAGCAGGACAGAGCTGGTGAGCACAGCCTCAGCCCAGTGGTCTGGGTCCACACCGAGTGTTGTCAGTCACGGTGACAGGAAGTACTGTGATGTGATGGATGAAGACAGCACCTTGTTCTGTGCTTTTCCCCAAACCCAGAACCTTGGTATAATCATCTAATTATCTAAAAGATAATCCTAATAGAGGCCATTTTACAACACTCCTGACCAGCAAAACCGTCAAGGCCAGAATAACAAGGGAAGTCGGAGAAACTCACATGACACTGTCCCGTGCTGTCCTGGGTGGGATCCTAGGGAGAAAAAGAAAACTGGGTCAAAACTAAGGAAGTCTTTTTTTCTTTGTTATTTTTTTTTAATATTTATTCATCTTTAAGAGAGAGAGAGAGTGTGTGTGAGCAGGGGAGGGGCAGAGAGAGAGGGAGACACGGAATCTGAAGCAGGCTCCAGGCTCCAAGCTGTCCGCACAGAGCCTGATGCAGGGCTCGAACCCACGAACCACGAGATCATGACCTGAGCCAGACTCGGATGCCTAACCGACTGAGCCACCCGGGTGCCCCCAAAACTAAAGAAGTCTTAAATGTGGACTTTTGTTACCAACCGTGTAGACAAATCTGGCATCCATACTGATGTAGGATGTTCACAGTATGGGAAGCTGAGTAAGATATGTGGTCACTCTGTAATATTCTTGTTAACTTTTATGTAAATCTAAAACTATTGTAACATGGTTTGTTTCTAAAAACATGGCCTACCTAAAAAGATTTAAATATTGACTAAAAATCAACTAAAATTGTTGCAAAGTGCAGACTATAAGAAATTGCCCTCTGTCATGGTCTGCTGGGTTCTGAAAGTTTTTACCGTTATTTCTGATTTCAAGATGTGACATTCCAGAATGGCGTTCCAGCTGCACAGGTAGAATGGGGGCTTCAGATCAGCGGCACATGGCCCTGGAAGAAATCCAGGGAAGAAATAGTGGCATGAGTGTAGAATTTAATTTCCCAGTGCTCTAGGTGTTGATTTCCTGGAACGTTGGCGTGCCTAACGCTCTCGTGCAAGGCTGCGTCGCTGAGTCCACGGCACCCCGATGCTGTTTGCCCCCATCGATGATTTCAGCATGACCTCGGGCTCTGTGTTAGATGCTAAAAACAACTCTGTTGAATATCTTTCTTCAGGTGTCAGCGTTTTCTACCTGGGAGAAAGAATTACACAAAATCGTGTTTGATCCGCGTTACCTCCTGCTAAACTCTGAGGAGCGGAAGCAGGTAACATGGTGGAGGGCTGGCGGGCTCTGGAAACCCAGCGCGAGCAGGACGCTCCTCCTGACGCTCGTGACACGCAGACGCCTGTCACGTTCATTTTGTCAGAGGGGAAGGGGTAGACCCGGTGGTCTCGCGTGTGAGCTTGTGCGCAGCAGTGGTTACCGGTGCAGAGGACGGTCATCCCCTCAGTGTCTTAGCAGACCATCTGGGGGTGACCCCACAGGACAGATGAAAATGCACGTGCTGGGAACACTGACCGCACCCCAGATAGCTGTGTTAAGACTCAATTAAGCTCTTATACGATGACATTGAACGAGAGGAGGGTCCCGGAAACAGTAAGAAGGTGTATGAGGGAAGGGGTGGCAGGTCCAGAGGGCAGGTCCCCAGAAAGGGCAGAGGTGGGCGAGAGGCAGCTCGCCTGGAGGACACGTTAGCCTGGCAGGTCTGCGCTGGCTGGTTGTCAGCGTAGATCATGGAGCCGATACGGCTTCCAAGACGAAGCGGACGGACAGAGGGACGGGCAGTGCTGACTGCCGGCTGAGGGACCGGGCCCTGATGCACAGCCCGGCTGGGGTCCGGTGTTCCCTGGAGGTCTCTGGGGTCTCTGGTTCCTGCTCCAGTCCTGCCTCTTCTGTCTGCACTCTTCTGAGTGTGAAATGATGCACATGGAAAGTGGGTCATCGGATCAGCCGCTGGAAACAGAGAGGGCCGGAGAGCTGTTTCAGATGTGGCCTCTGTCACCATGGCCCGCGTGCTATCAGACAGCAGGGCCCGGGGCCCAGAGGACAGAAAGGGCAACCCCATTTCCAGCTCTGTCGTGGGTCCTGAAGTTTCCTCAAGCACACGCCGGCACGATCAGCGAAACACCGAGCGGGCAGAGCCTCGGGCTTGCGGACCCCTGCCCGTCCCGTCCCGCCGATGGCAGGGCCTCGCTGGCACACGCCGGGGCTTGGGATGGTGCTGGGTCGGCCACACTGGAACACGGAACTTAGACCTTTGAGGAACTTAGAATTAATGACCTTTTTGTTGCATTGCAGCTGGCTTGTATTTTCCAGAAGGAAACCTCTGAAAACGTGTGAAATGTGTTAGCAGTGGCTCCAAAAAAAAAAAAGTTACAATAGAGTCAGAGGAGGTTAGATTACGCACGCACACACACGTGTGCACACAGCCGAAGAAAACTGTAGACTTTAATCATCAGTGATATTTCGCTCTTCTGTGCGATATTAAAGAGCAAACGGTCAGACTATTTGGCTGTGAGCACTCGTAGTCCGCTTGTTTTTGTGAAGAATGCCTTACTTGGTGAAGACCCACACGCTGGCCATCTGCGGACCGTGCTTTCGCTGATGGTGCGGTTGGCACCATTGTTGCCAGTTCAGGGGTGTTTTTAGAGACCGTTAGCCCCTTTGAAGGAAGCTGAGGAAGCCTGCCGCCCACCCCCCGCCCAGGATCTTAACGCTTACCCCCTGCCCCCCCGCACGTGATGGGAGCATGTGGCGCTCGGTGTGCTGCTGAACTGCTCTGGGGGCGTCCTGCACCAGATGCACACGTGAGCACCACGGGGCTGTGCGTCCCTCCCCCCCATGGCAGCAGGTGCAGCTGTGGCCACCTGGGCTGGGATGTCCGGGCCCCCACGCCTGGATGTGCACTGTGCAGACAGATCAGACCGGAGTGCGCTGTTCAGGGGACGCCATCAGACAGAGGAAACTTCAGGGTCACCAGCCTGCAACGTGGCCCCGGAGGCCCCAGGAGGAAGAGCGGGAACTGGGCCTCGCTGGCGGTCGACACAGAGCAACATCAGAGAGCCCTGGGATCAGAAACCACCCGCGACGCGGGGGAAGCCCTATGAGCACTCCTGTGAGCACTGGTGCTGGAGCCGTGCCAGAGAAGGAGGCAATATCTAGGCCACCCGAAACCCCAGTGCTCCTCACAGGACCCCCCCCCCACCCACCCACCCCCACCATTGATGGCAAGCATCCGGCTAGAACCTGTACCGGCCCCGCTGTCACATGGTGTTTCTATGGGGAAACTAGAGATCATGGTGGGCAAACCGCCAATGGCCCGTCCTCCACAGGGGGCTGCAAAGGAGAAGCGACTGAGCCCAAACAGAGACGAGGGGTCGGGCCACGCTCATCAGACCTGTTTCCACGGTAACAGATAGTGTTTCCTTTTCATTATGGGAGGACACTCCATAGCGGGACAATGGCCAGTGGTCTCTCTTTTAAAAAGTCATGCCCCACTTTGAGTGGAGCTGGTGTAATTTGTCAAAGCGGGGAGAAAGACGCCGCTACGTTAAATTATAGTGGCGTAAATAGAGTGACAGGGCGGAGGGAGAGGTGAGAAGTCGAGTTCCATGGGTGGGCGCTCAGCGGTAGGAGAAGCGGGTCTCCCGCGGCCAGGCAGGGTTTCTGTCCAGACTTAAAATTAGTAGAGCGAAAGCTCTGATGACGGAGCCCCACTTTTATGTGGATAATAACCCTTCCTTCACCTGTTTTATTAGTTTAAGTTCTAAGACAGCCGGCGAGGTTGCACACCACTTGCCTTGAAGGTGAAATAAGCCAAGATAGTCCTACTTCAATGTATAAGCACACCTTCTCCATTTAAGTCCTACTCTTGAATGTTTCCATGCAGAGTCTTCAGGACAGGGGAGCATTGGGTGTTTATAATCCCATAAGGCGAGTGGCCACTGAAAGGCAGTGTGAAATCCCCGTCCAAGCCGAGAGAGCCTCCTGCATTGGCCGCGTCTTCCCCACCTCCCCCTCAGGGGCAGGAGTGCAGGAGACCCCCAGAGCGCTCGGGTCAAAGTCTAATGTCGGCAGTGGCCTTGGGTCCGGTTGGGACAGAGTTGCTGTTTATAGGCCTTCCAGGGTCACACGTGAAAATTGTATTGATCTTTTTATTCACGTGTGCGCACACTCTCAAGTCATCTCCGGTATTTTCTTTTTAATGCTCTTGAGGCTCGGATAGCATTAGGAATGAAGCAGCTGTCCCTACCCCCTTCGGGCTCCGGTTTGTAAATGGCACCTCATACCACAGCGATGCGCTGCCCCCATCCATTGACGGACTGACGGCTGCAGAGAGGGTCCTCGGTGTCACGTCACTGTGTTGACTGTCACCTCACAAGGGAGAGGGTCCCGGGGCCATGATGCACCTGCCCACCAGACGATACTCGTATCCTTCAGGCTAGGGGACGGGGTTCTCCTGCTCAAATCCCACTTCTTGTCCGACTGGGGATCACACAGTGTCCGAGGGTCAGGTCTTCGCTTTGGGTCTGACCACCCAGAGGCTCCATGACGCCCCCAGGAGAGGCTTGCCGTGTCTGCGTGATGCCCCCGCCCTGATGCCCAGACCACAAGTGGTCTTCTTAGAGACTAGAGGCTGGGGGATCAGAGATGCTGGGTTGACTTTCTTCTCACAAGTTAAAATCACGTTTGGAGGCTCAGATGCCAATTGTGTCACTGTAGGAATTGACTAGAACAAATGACAAAACCTCATGTGTTCCTGGGACGACCGGCAGCGATGTGAAGGTCAGCCAGATAGCGCGTGACCCCAGAAGCTGCTCACGGAATTCCAAAACAAGAAATAGGACCCACCCCCGCCCCCAAGCGGGGCTGATTCAGCGTTTGACCCCGAGATTCTCTTGGGAATCCAGGCTTAATTATGTAGACGCTTGGTTCAGGAGAGCCCCTCCCTGGAGGGGCTGTGCCTTCCACCTTATGGAAAAGAAAGGCTTAACCACAGATGCTCGCTGTTCTTTTGTGTTGTGTTTGAGGCACAAGATTTCATTTCTGATATGCAACCTGTAATACTTTTCTGTGTGCGTATGTGTGTGTTTCAAGATATTCGAACAGTTTGTCAAGACAAGGATAAAAGAAGAATATAAGGAGAAGAAAAACAAATTGCTGCTCGCCAAAGAAGAATTCAAGAAACTTCTGGAGGAATCTAAGGTGTCACCCAGGTATGGAGACAGAAATGCCGGGTGACTTCGGGGCGGGAGACTTACGATGACTGTAAGAGGGGTTTTAAAGTCTGTTCTGGTTAAATCGTGTAACCTACCATCGCGGAGACCTCACAAGCGTAATGGTGAAGTTGTCGGTGACTAAGCCACCAGCCCTGCCTGCCTGCGCGGCTCACGGTTCTCTCTGCTCCCCACACCCTTCCATTTTGCTGCCCTGCCTGGTTTTCCAGCGTGGCCACCCTGACTCCATGACCTAAATAACTAGTCAGTAGGTCAGCAGTCAAGATGAGGGCTAACCTCGAATCTAGGGATCAGAAAGTAAGCGCACGGAACACGAACTCGGAGACTAGGCATACAGAGCCCGAACAGCAGCAGTAAAATAAACCTCACCGTTGGTTGCAGACGTCTCCCCAGTCGGCCAGGGTGGAAAGAGAAGGGACACACACCAGGGCAAATGAGCCAAGTAATTTTGCTGCCAAAGTCACCTAAAATAACCTGGCACTGTTCCCGTGAAATAAACCAATAGGAAACTGGATGTTAGAACTTAGAAAAATGCATGAACTTAAGTCTTCTTTAAAATTGGCTTCTGTGTAAAAATGTTTATTTATTTATTTATGAGAGAGAGAGAGGGAGAGAGAGAGAGAGAGAATGTAAGCAGGGGGAGGGGCAGAGAGAGAGGAGACAGAGAATCCCAAGGAGGCTCCATGCTGTTAGTGCAAACTCATAAGCTGTGAGATCATGACCTGAGCCAAAATCAAGAGTCAGACACTTTAACTGACTGGCCACCCAGGCACCCCTAAAATTGGCTGATATTTAAGAAGTAATGAACATTGTACTACTTTTAGAAATATAGGACTATAACTTTTATAAGCCAAAAAAATTGACTTCGGTTTATTTTTATTTGGGGTTGAGATACATCTGAATGGACGTTTATGCATTATTATTTTTAATAATAATGCGGGCACTTCGGAATTTTAGTAATAATGCACAAATACAACAGTATTTTTTTTTAAAAAACATTAATTGATGTTTGCTTTCTGTGAAGACATAGGCTCCCATGTTTTGATTGATAATTATTTAGTTCACCTGGTCAATAATTGGATGTTGGTTATATGGTTACATGGTCCTTATAAAACCTCTCCAAGTATTTAAAGGACAGATGTTTTCTGAATGGGGAAAAATGCAGCATGAATTACCCCCATCACAAAAGGCTAATCTAGAAGAGCAAATGTTCATCTAAACGTTTGTAAACTGTGACTTCCTGTGGTTAGAGATGAGAACACTGGCATCTCTGTGTCCCCACACGGTGACCCTAGGAGAGAGGAGTTGGTGTGGAGCCCCTGCCTCGGGGCACAGCCCCCCCCACCCCTCCTCAGCCCTGCAGTGGAGTGAGGCATTGCACCTTTCTGAGCTTCCGGCATCATCTGTGGGCAGTACGGCTACAGCAGGGTCCCTGGGTGGTGCAGACGCGGAAGCGAACACAGCACCTGGCAGGTGGAAGGAGCTTGGTGACGGAGATGCCTCTCGTCACCATCATCATCAAATATTGTCAATCTGTCCATTGGTAAAACGTTAACAGTAAGTCAACACACTCCCCTTCCCATCCTGAAGACAAAGGAGAAAATACTCATAACGCGTCTGGCAATTAGGAGAAAGATCTCCCTCTCACACACACACACACACACACACACACAGAAGGAGAACGACTGATAGAAATCAGAAAGTTAAACTTACTTCTTCTTTAAAGGTAGATTAAACTGCCTGCTATGTTAAAAATGTGCACCGTGCATACGTACTTTTATGATTATTAAACCATTTTTATGTCAAAATGGCTGATTCTGCACCATCGTCAAGACTTTACAGACCACTTCACCTTCTCCCCTCACTGTTCCATAGGTTTCCTAGTAGAATACGTGCAGTTCAAGTCGCTGCACACGGGTGGCCGGGTGAGCTAAGCACAGGCCATCTGAGCACCCTAGAAGCAGCCTCTCGGGGTTCAGCAGCTCCGCCAGTTACACTGTGCTCTGGCCCTGTCACCACAGCCACGGGCACGGCCAGAGCCAGCTCCCAGTCCTGCCCGGCTCTGGGGGTCCTGAGATGGGGCGAGGGGCCACGGGGGTCCTCCCCTCGGTCTGCCGCCCAGGCTGTGGGGTCTGCACTCTGTGCTTCTCCCCAAGGCCACACTGTCTGCCTCCTTTAGGTGCAGGTGGGCTGTGTCCCCAGCTGCCAGAGGGCAAAGGGGGTGCTGTGCCCGTGACTCAGGGGCTCCCCCGGCCCACTGGAAGGCCCAGCAGAAGCCAGGATGCCCCCACGGCACGGCTGGGGGGCCACAGATTTGTAATTCTCCCTCTCTTCTCAGGGACACTTCTTTTCAGAAGTGCCCCGAGCAGGACCTTGTAGACAAGATCTGTGCTCAGCCTCTGAATGGAAGATACGCAGGCTGCTATCCAGACAAGGGAAGAGAGTAGCAAGTCCCTGTGATTCTCGTCTTGGAAGGAAGGAAGGATGAGACAAGGGCCTTAGTCCTTTAGTCCATTTGGGCTCCTGTTCCCAGGAACACAAACCAGGGGCCTCAAGCAACGGATATTCCTCCCAGTTCTAGAGGCTGGAAGTCCGAGATCAGCACTCTGGCTCAGGGTCTGGTGAGCCCTTTGTGACCTAGTCACCTCCCAAAGGCCTTGACCCCCCCCAACACTAGCACCGGGGGGTGCCGGGAGGTCCACCTAGGATCCTGGGGGATGTATACTTTCAGTGCAGAGAAGGAGGAAGAGGGAAGAAGGAAGGAGGGCAGCAGAGAGAAGCACTTTCTTTCTGAGACGCGCATGAGCAGGCACAACCCCGGAGCGTGACCCAGGAGGCTGTGGGGCTGGACCAGGAAGAGGGACGCTGGTGGCAGGTGGGGATGTGTCCGGGCTCCTGACAGCCATGTCAGTGCAGCCCTCCTGTTTATGTGTGAAACAGCTGTTACATTATAATCCTTTGATACAAGAGTGAAATGTCTCCAGCGGAGTATGAAGTCCTCCACAAGGAGAAGCGGGAGGACTTTGGATCCCTGGACCGAGCTCACGTAGCCCTGCGGGCCTGTTCCAGGCTGCCAGCTCGGGCCTGGGAGGGGGGAGGCTGTGGGGACCGGTGCTCGCGAAGGTGCCATTTGTCCCTGCAAGGGGCTTACCCACTTGCCCTTTGAGCCGCCCAGACCCTGCGTCGGACTCCCGGGCCCGTTCAGTTGACCTTGGGTTCTTCCACACGCCGGCCACTGCCGCCAGGCGTCCGGGACCTTTGGCGGGAAACAACACGGATCACAGAGCCTCCAGTGGAGCGGGGGGCGGGGAGGAGTAGATGGCACAGTTGGGCTTACCACGGTTGTGGCTGTTGACAAGGGCTGCGAGGGACCCCGTCTGTGGGGTGAGTTTCCTCAAAAAAGACACGTGGAGCCCGACTGCCAGTGACGAGAGCAGATGTAAGGGACAGCGTGCCAGGCAGAGGGGCTGCCTGAGTGGCCTGTGGCAGCCAGGACATCCTAAGAGGGGACAGGAGGGGACCTGTGTGGCCAAAGCAGTGGTGGACGCAGGTGGGCAGTTGAGAGCTCCGAGTGAGGGAGGCTGAAGAAGCCGGAGAGTCTGGGTTCATCTCCAGAGGCTGGGGAGAGGTAGCCATGCGGGTATTCAGTGGGGTCAGGATCCCAAGGGCCCCCACGGGGAGTGGCGCCCAGCACGGGAGTAGCTGGGGCAGGTGTGGGATGCCCATTTCCTGCCCCAGATCCTGCTCCCGTCCCCTGACCTGCCCCAGATGCTGCCCCTGTCCCCCAACCTGCCCCAAGTCCCGCCCCTGTCCCCAACCTTCCCCATGTCCTCTCCCTGTGGCCCGAGGACAGCTAGATCGGGTGGTAGCGGCTGTCCACCTCTGGAGGTGATGCCAGCCTGCGGGGGTCAGGAGGTGTGGAAACCGCTCCCGGGGAAGACAGGTCTCAGGAAAGTTCCTGTTTTTCAGAACCACGTTTAAGGAGTTTGCGGAGAAGTACGGCCGGGACCAGAGGTTTCGTCTTGTTCAAAGAAAGAAGGACCAGGAGCATTTTTTCAACCAATTCATACTTATTCTTAAGAAACGGGACAAGGAAAACCGACTCCGGCTGCGGAAGATGAGATGAGTGTGTGAGAGGCGCAGTAGGACAGGTGCGGAGCGGAGGGTGCCGCGCGGGGCTGCGCGCACTTCTCGGAGGATTACTGTTTCATATTGAAGCTCTCTTTTGTACGGCGTTCCGAGTCTGATGCGTTTCTAATTGCCATGGTAGGTCGCTCCCTTAATTGTTTAATTATGCAAAGTACTTGTAATATATACAAATCATAAACCCACCGCAGGTTTGTAGCTCAGCAGAAATATCTATATCCCTCTCAAGGTGTTTTCATGAGTTGATCTGAGTACCTGAAACTTTTCTCCAAACCTTTGTGTCTTCCCTGGGTTCTGAGCCCCGTGGCACGGGGGCTCCTTCCGAGTGCTGGGTGTCCGTCCGGTGTCCCGAGTAGTAGCAATAGCATCATCATCACCAGTCATAGCGACGACCCTGAGCGCCTCCACACGTGGACCCCGGACCCCCGCAGCAGTCCGAGGGGGCGCCGGGCCCCAGACAGGGCGGCCGCAACGTCTGTCGGGGGTCCTACTCAAAATGGGATTATTTTGTACAAAATCATCATACGAATAGTTGAGTTATTTTTATTGTATGCCCAGTTTGCATGAGATTTTTCTCATCATCTTTGTATAAAAAGAATTTTAAATTTTTTTTAATTAATAAATATTTTAAACCAGTGTGTTTTGGTGGTAAGATTTCCACTGCGATCTCCAGCGGCAAAACAGTGTTTCAACTGAAGACAGTCTGTTTTGAAAGATTCCTAACAGTGTTTGTGAACGCACACGAGGGCTGAGTGAGCACAAACAAAAATCCTGCCTTTCAACCTGCCCGTTCTGGGTGGAGCGATGGTGGCTAAAACCCAGCTAATTAACCGCGTTCTCTAAATTGTTGCCTGTTTATTTCACGGCTTACGGGGCCTCTCTTCAGATACGCTGCCACTGCCCCAGGGCACAGCGACACGTCCTCCTGGCCTCCCCGGTCCCTCTTCAGTGCGGTGAACACGCTCTCTGCCACGCGTATTAGGACGTAATTGGGCGGGTTTCTCTCTTCTTTGGGGTAAGCCCTGGTCTCAGCACCAGTGTTGTGAGGCTAGCTTCTGGGTTAGATCTGGGTTCTGGGGCCATCACTTGGGTTCAGGCAGCAGCCAGTGGGGTTGGGCATCCGGGGCAGGGGCCAGGAGGCAGACCCTCCGGTAAGGGTCCAATCTGGAGTAGAACCCACCTTGTAAACTGAACAGAGAAATTTAATGGAAAGAGTTATCACATACAAAGGCATTCGAGTAATGAGGCTGGTGAGTCCAGGTGACCGCCAAAGAACGCACAGACGACAGCCACAGGAGCAGACGTGACCCCCAGGGCTCAGAGAAGCCCCCATGGAAGGAGCCCCCCGACCCGTGCAGAGATGGGGACCTCCCGGAGAAGGCGCAGCCGTGGCTCTGGAAGCGCCGGGAGCCCACTGTCTAAGATGCCGGGAAAGTGGCTCGTGTGGCGGGTCTGGTGGCATACCCTCGCCCAACAGCACCCGGAGAGACGGCGGGCTGGGGGAGGCGGCCGGCTGTGCGGGCCTCGGGACGCGGAGCCGGGACAGAGACGGAACCCCCGGCAACCCCTGAGGTTCGCACAAGCCAGCGGCCCTCCTGCCATCTGTCCTGTCCACTGGAAAGCCAGCTGACTGGCTGCTTGCCCCGAGAGAGGCCGGCTGCCTGGCCACAAGATCCCACGTGACTGCACCCGCGTTGTCAGCGTGAAGTGTGACCTGACCCCTTCGGCGTGCAGCCGGACTTACGGGGCAGCATTTAACCTCAGATGGAGAGGCCAGCGGCAGGGCTGAGCCTGAGTGGTTCTGGAAGACCTCGGTGGACCCCTGCTCCCCTGGCTGCTGCCTCCCCCCCCCCCCCCCCCCCCCCCCCCCCGCTCAGGTCCTTGCCGTCCGTCAGCTGAGGAGGAAGGGGCAGGCCCGGAGTAGCGGTCACACGTCCTGCTGTGCTGGCCTCAGCCCCCACCCCCAGGTCAGGAGTGGCCCCGAGGGCAGGTGAAGGAAGTCTCCACGGGGGAACATCAGGCTAGACCGAACGACAGTTCTGTAAACTTGCCTGGGAGACGAGAGGGGGCCCGGGGCACGCGTCTACACTGATTTGGCGGCTGGCTGAACCGCCGGCTGGTTGGGGGTCTACAAGGCGCAAGACTGGGATGGGGGCGATGAGGTGAGGGGCGCGCGGTGGGCGCAGCACTGGGAGGTCGCACGTCCCGCACTCTTTGTACGAAGCTCTGAGACCGGGTCACCAGGTGGACGGTCCTGGGCGTGTGGGCCCGTCGGCCAGTGTCTCCCTCCCCACTGTTCCTGGTCTGTGTCCACCGACCCAGACCCCTGTTCCGGGTTGGTCCCATGAATCCGCCCATTTGGTTTTGTTTTTGTTTTTTTAACGTTTATTCATTTTTTGAGAGACAGAGAGCATGAGTGGGGGAGGGGCAGAGACACAGGGAGACACAGAATCTGAATCAGGCTCCAGGCTCTAAGCGGTCAGCACAGAGCCCGACGCGGGGCCTGAGCCCAGGAACTGTGAGATCATGACCTGACCCGAAGTCGGATGCTTAACCCACTGAGCCACCCAGGCGCCCCCAAATCCCCCCATTGTTCCGGGGAGCAACTCCCCCTCACAAAAGTGAATCTCAGATGCTCCTTCCCTTCCCCTAGTTACCATCCACGCTCTTGCAGAATGGTTGCTGGGCCACACGGCCTCCCACACAGTGTGGTCTTGACCAGGAAATGCATTTTAAGGGACAGTCATTGCAACAATAGGTTCACGCCCAGGACCCGCGGGCACCCCCACCCCCCCGAACCCTCACGCCCAGGCCCCACGGGCACCCCCATGAACCCTCAGGCCCAGAAGCAGCTGGCTGGTCCCGTGCTGGGACGGCCTGCTGAAGGCACAGTACATCTACGGGGCGAGGTCGGGTAGGGTCCTGCGGGGGTCACCTGTTGGCCTTAAACCAGCAGCTGGCATATGTCGCCGTCTCCCTGGAATCACGGGGCAAGACACTGGCCCGCAAAAAGGGGAGATGGGAGCGACCCTTCTCATGCCGCCCGATAACCTTCATCCCCGCAACCCGGGCTCAGTGGATTTGGAGAACCCGTGGCCCAAGTGCAGCATCCACCATCTTGATGCGATTTGAAGCCGGGCCCCTGGCCCTTCTGACGCCTCGTGGCGCGGAAACATCGGGTGGAGAAGACGGTGGCTACGCTCGCTGGGCAGTTATCTCAGTTGCCGAGGGCAAGTTATGTCTCCCGTATCCCGTGGGACAGGGACAGTGTCCGGGGCCAGAGGGCTCGGCGGGCGCCCGGGGTACCAGTCAGCACACAGCTGGGCCTGCCAGACGCTGAGGGCCTGTGGGGAGCAGACTGGGGTCTGAGGTGCCGCGAGGGGCGAGGGGTACCGCAGGGTCGGCTGAAGGTGCGATCGCCATCTGGGCCCCGCAACCGTCTGCAGAAGCAGAGGCTGGAGGGCCATGCTTTCCCATTAAGTTTTCTCTCCCTTCTTTGCCCCTACTGTTTCCTGGTCGGGGACTACTGTGGGTTTCGGACACGTGACTGATTTCATTCGCCTCGCCCCACAAACGTGTGGGAACTGGGTCGGTTGTCTGCCACGTTGGGGCCACAGCATTGTCTACACCCACGGCAGCGAGCGCCTCGAGGGGCCCGGCGGCGGACTCGCTGCCTGAGATCCTCTCCCCTGCCCGGTGGCCCCGGAGCCTCCCCACCACAACCTCTGGCCTTTGGTGCTTCCGCATGGGCAGCAGCGGATTTGGGGTACTTGCTCGGCCCGGTTGGGGGCCTCCTGGGGCCCCGGCTCCGGTGAGGACCGCGTCCTGCTCCCTCAGGCCCGCAGCAGGACAGTCCCTGCGAAGGCTGGTCCCGGGCACCCGGCCGCGCGTGCTGACCATAGCTGCTCCCGCGCCCCTGACGGCCCTTCTGTGAAGCCCTGCTCAGTCGTTCCTGCTGCGGGCCATCTGTTTGCTGTCAGCACGACTTAATCACCACCATCATCACACTCCAAGGGTAGTTATCCGAGGCTCACGACGACACAGAACTACGCCAGAAACCATGTTAGTGGGAGGACACGGGAGATCGCACAAGCCCAGACTCCGTGCTGGAAGGAGGTGGAAAACATCCATGACGTTAGCACCTAGAAACACACAGGCACCTCCTGGCCCCTATGGGAAGTTCCAGATGCTTCTGGTTTTCACCCAGACGTTTGGGAACTTTCATCTTCGTTCCTCTGACCGTGATTTTGAATCTCAGGAAATGAGGTTATTGAAGGTCGTAGACAGTCTATCGCCATCCGTGTTTATGCTCATGTGTGTCTAGCTGTCAGTCGTCGTGCGGTTGGAGGAGAAAGGTCAACTGTGGCGTAATCAGGGAAACCCTCAGGGGGAAGAAGGGGAACCAGCTCGAGAAAAAGCTGCTTCCTAGGTGTCTGGGGTCTGCATCTCGAACACGTGCCCACTTTGAGGGCTGTGGAATTAATCCGTTTTTAAGCCATCGGTCTGTAGTTAAGACATGATAGGAAGACAACAGACGAAGATTTCTTTTAAATGGCAGCTTCGCTTAATTTTTGCACCTTTTCCTTTCGCTGGAAACACCACCGGGTAACGTGGGGCAACTCAGTCGTGCCCTCTGAGCTGCTAAAACCCAGCAGGACACTGAGTGCCTGTCGATCAGGTGAAAATGCGTCCAGTCAAAGGACGAAGGCAGGAGTGGTGGGTCGCTGTCATTGATCGTTGGATTAACCCTCCATGTCCCAGAGGCAGGAGCTTCCCAATAGGGCCATGGGGTCTGAGTCCCGCCCGTCACCCCGACCTCCAGAGCACCCGCCTCTCACCCGCCTGTCCCTTTGCTTCTCTCCCCAAGCGTCACCCAGCCAGTCACCGCCCCCTGGACCACCGCCTTCGCCCAGCTGTCCTGCCGCACACTGGCGCGCTCACGTGGGTCCTGGTGTGCAGGCCCCTGGTTCCACGGGGCCC